TTAAACTTTCTTGTCTTGCTTCGTGGACTTAAGGTAGCATATTGATTACTTGAAAATCAATAGCTACCTTAGAGTAGCATCATGATTACTTGAAAATCAAAAGTTGTTCGGGCAGCCTCCTAGTTATTTGAAAACCAAATGTTATACCAATACTATCATGAGGCAGCGTCTCGATTACTTGAAAATCAAGTGGTAACCTTGAGCTCATGTTGAGTTAGGTAACTTCTTGGTTGCTAGAAAATCAAACATCATCATAAAGCTTATCATGATGCATCATCCTAAACCGTGAGCTCATCTTGTATTAGAGTAGCCTCTAGCCCCTAAAGCTTATCATGAGGTAGCACTAGATTACTTGAAAAGCAAGTGCATATCTTAGACTCAATTTTAGTTAGGTAACCTAAATAAAATTAAAAAAAAAAAAAAAAAAAAGTGTTGTAGAGAGTAGGGATTTTTCGAAGCATACTATAGGCGAAGAATGTTCTAGGAAGATTTTAGGGTGAAGCTAGGTGAATGGCTGCCGATATGATCAACAAACTTCCTTGGTTAGGTTTCATCTCACTATTTAAGACACGGTGGGACATGAAACCTATCGTTAGCATATTAAAAAAACTCATAGTGGCTCTCAAATAAGAAAGTTTTACTAGACTAGAACAATATTGAAGAAATTCGAGGGGCATCGACGACATAGTAGACATAGTAGCCATATAATCAATACAAGACCTGTGAGGCAGAAGACAGATACATGATATGAAAAAGCTTAAGCCGAGATTGAGACAATGCTTCATGCTAATATTTAGCGCCTGAGTCGGTATAGCACCATGTCTCGGGCAAACATTACTAACATCACGATGCCTAGCAATGCTTTCGCAAAACAGACCAGTGGGTGTTGACTGGAGTTGTGGTGAATGCGCTTGGTAGATGGCTGGGGTTGGTTCACAAGTTGTGTACGTGTGTTATCCCCCTGAAGCTGCAGAATTGAAAATGAGAGTCTAAGAGTGTCGGGAAATCATGTAACATGAATTGTCACAACAACAATAGCTTCTACACTAAAAATACGCGTATCCCTTCACCTTGGATGGGGACACATTTGTACTTCCGGGTTTCCTCGGCAATGGGGCGTTTTGTGGTTTACTTTCTTCGTATACCTTTACACGTCTGAGTACTCTACGCAAGTATTTTATTTGGTTCTGGAATTGACAAGTAAAAATATGTGAGAAAAGAAGAGCAAAGGATGAGAAACTGTGTGGGTGCAACCTTCGAATTACCCATCACTGCAAAACAATTCAATCAAATAATTTTTAGTCAGTACATCAGAATAAGTGTCATCCGATTCCTCCGATTCCTCGTGGTTGTTTGATGTCATCTCGTCCAAGTTTTTATGCTTGCCTAACACCGATTCCATAATTTGCTTTTCAAAATCACATTCACTCTGTATGGCATTATCTGGATTTTCAGAAGTTCCAGCTCGAGGCTGTTAAAAATTAAGGAGGTCATCTCAAGCTCAGCATACAAGGTTATGTTCAAAATGTTCATATTGGACACTCTTACCTTCTGTATGATTTTCTTCTCTCCATCTGCATTGTTATCCTTCAATTTAAAAATGAGGAATGGGTGCTACATGGGCAGCAGTACATAAGAGGGACAATGTTACCACAAAAACCTCATTACTTAAAAATACTCATCATATTGGGAATAAAAGAAGCGTGGGAAATGAGACCTGGGAAGGGATTTTAGTGTCTGGGTGAAGCCTATACTCGCGTATCACCCAATTGGTCTTTACACCCTTGGCTCCCCGCCCTCGATGGAACACGAAGATTTGTCTACTTCCGATCACTTCATTGGTTCCTCGAGCCTTGATTGGGCGGGGTTCACCGGTGGATTTCCAGCTGCCAGTACCCGTGGTTCTTTCAATGTCCAAGGTGTTGGCCCGGAAGAAAAACCACTCGAAATTATCAGACGGGATGAACGATTTGTCTGCACAGGAACAAGGGAAAGGAAAGAATCAGAGGTGTGCTCCATCTTCAAAAGCTAAAATCAGGAATTTGATAAATACATACCTGGGAGTTGCTCGGGTTCGAACTTGTACAGATCAATCTCCTTGATAAAACTAACAACAGACTCGTTGCCATCATTCTTGTTCTTCAGGTAGTGGGTAATGAGCTGCTCCTCCGTGGGACGGAAAACAAAACCAGCCGGCAATGAAGAAAGATACGAAAATTCAGCGGTGGTGGCCATGGATTTGGTAGGAAGGGCGTCGGAGTTGGTGGTGGATGTTTATAACTATAACAACGGAGCAGGAGCAGGAGCAGGAGCAGAAGCAAGGAGGACTTGCATTGACTGGGTGGGGTGAGGTGCTTAAGTTGTCAAGGGAGACCACTTTCCTACAAGGTACGCATAATTAAATTTAGGTGCTGCCATGGCACAAGTCTTCGCACTACACTCCAACAGCTTTGAATTCGCTATTTCTTTGTACTAGATGTTACATGGCACAAGTCTTCGCACTACACTCCAACAGCTTTGAATTCGCTATTTCTTTGTACTAGATGTTAATAACACTGAGCTCATTATTTCATGTACGGATCACAATAATTTTTCTCCAATTTTTGTTCTCTACACGTTCTAAGAGGCAAAATTGCTATTTGGTCCATTGATATCAATTTTCTCCAATTTTTGTTCTCTACACGTTCTAAGAGGCAAAATTGCTATTTGGTCCATTGATATCAAGATTATTGAACCCATGAGGTCTTAAAAAATGGTCAAAGTCGGGGCAAAAGGGGCATTTTGCACCTCAGCCCACTATAGGGGTCTTGAGGATTTTCCACATATCACAAGAGAAAAGTGTGAGAAAGAAAGTTGAGAGAAAAGAAACTTGAGAGGGGAAAGCAAACGACCGGACTTCTCGTTGGAGAACCATTATCGAAGTTCATTTTCGACCAAGACTTACACACTGAAGTTTGTTCTTGAAGAAAAAGAGGACTCGTGTTGTTGAGGTTCCATTTTCCGTCAAGATCCAAGAGAAATTCGCAAGTTAAGATCTCGAACGTTTCTCTTAAGATCTGAGATCTTCCTTTAGGAATAGAGGGCTAAAGTTTGCTACCTTCATCTAGGGAAGATCCGCTACTGATTTCGTGAGGAAAATCAGACAAAATGTTGAGGTCGGAGAATCTTTCCAAGAACGGTAAGGATGTTAACGAACCTCTTTCCGATGCTCACAACTCGTCGTATGATTAAGTAAAAAAAAAAAAAAAAAATACTGGAACGTAGGTTGTAGTATGATCTAAAACTTTGTTGAAGAAGTCATTTCAATTTGGATTAAGAATCGAGAGATAGAAAAATGAGAAGAACGTCAAAAAACTAATTGGAAACCCATTTGTCTGCTAGGAGGAGAGAGAAAGCAACGACGTGCCACATGTCAACCATCGAGAGGTCTCTCATGTGCCGATAGCCACCAAACACACGTTGAACGCCGTCTGGAGCGACGCGGTTCCAGTTTCCCAGCGACGCGCGTTCGCAGTGGCAACACCCGACCTGCATCCCTCAACCGATCCGACACCTGCGCGACGAGATGAACCGCAATGACCTGCGGTCCACCCAAACCGAACTGACGACCCGCAGTTGCAGCAAAAGTGCATGCGCGTGACACTCTCATGTGGAAGCGCGTGTAAGCCCATTTTTGTCCAGTTTGACTCCTGTTTTCCCTATTTTCCTCCCAAATCCAATCTAACTCTATTTTATTCTAAAGACCTTGGTCCTCCGTCATGGATTCTGAGTCAAAAAGCTTGGTTTGTCTGATGCCTAAGCCTAGTTTAGGCACTTGTATGATCCCTCAACCTTGGATGAGTTTAAGAAGTGTAGATCTCATCATGACTATCCTCTTTCACTCTATACACGATGCATAACACTAGCTTTAATTCTAAAACATTTTCCCTAGAAGACCTAATAGGTCACATGGTTGGTAAACAACATGAACTTGAGGGTATACTTATGTTTGAGATTCAAACCAAGATTTGGAATCTTTGTTTGGCCAATGGTTGTCCTGAAATTTCCCTATGTCTCCCGTGACATAGTTTGAGTTTTGACATCCTATAAAGTATGACATCCTATTAGGGATTGAAGTAGATCATCGCATTAAAGTGAGAAAAATATGTGTTAATAATGTATTGCATTATCGAGAGGTCTAGGGTGACTTAGGGCATAAGGGAGGATTGGGTTGAGTGGTTCCTACCAATTTGATGCATATTAGGGTATTTTGAGAACTAGCCTACTTGGGTGGACTCTTCACCCTAGAACATAGGTTCATAAGTTTATGGATCTAGCTCTAACGGTCTTTCATGAAAACTTGAGGCATATCTAGGCAAAAGTTATATTATAAGGTTCACATGACATTTCATAATCATATCAATCCTTTGTAAATTCATGCCTAATTTATTCATAATGTCATAAGTAGGTTTCATGTCATTTGAAGTTCATTAGAAGTCATAAAATCCTATAAAATATTTATTAAGGGCATTTTCGTTATTTTTAACCTTATCGCTAGTTTACGCTCTACACATATTTCTATTACCTTTAAATCATATATAAAACATTTATAAGGTTATAAGTAGATATAAAGTTTCGAAGTCTTATAGACATTGAAACATTATAGGTGTATATTAGGGTAATTATGGTCATTTTACCTATAATGTTGGTTTATAACCTAAACATGCACCTATGACCTTCAAATTTAACCTAAACATGCACCTATGACCTTCAAATTATAGGTCTAACGGCTTACATTTGAGAGGGTCTTAGCTTGAATTTATTGCACCAAATGGAAGTTCTCGAGTAAAACGCTAATTAGGAAGTGAGGTTCTTCGTCTAATCCTTTCATAATTGCTCTCTTAGTATGCGTCTGTACTCCTTATAATGGAAAAATATCTCGATGCATATGACACGCAAATATGCATGAAATTCGCATAACTTATCATCCTGTCATAATGTATGATCAAGACAAACCTCAATTTATTTATAACATAATAAGTTGGTGAATTATGCTTACATAATTCTTATACATTATATAAAACATAGCATAACTTTCATTTCTTGGTCTACAGAGGTCTATACATTATAGATGAACAATTTCATAACAACTTTATATGCCATAGTATGGTCACAAAATAACATAATTTTATTACATAACATATCTTATCATATCATAACGTGGCATAGCATGACATACCATAGCATAGCATCAAACAATATATATTATGCATACATAATATAGATGCATGGGCCACTAGATACACGTCCTCATAACTAATGCATCTCATCCAACTACTTATCTAGTTGTCGTAAGTCGGAATCTCTAAATATTTCTAGAGTTGGTTCAATTCTATCCTCAAGATCCGTTTCAACCTAAGTTGACTTACGACATCATATTATGATATATTAACGAACTTAACTTATCTAAATCATTAAATAATTTCAACTTCTCGCTCAAAATAATTTAAAGGGTGAAAATAGGAGTTTAAGTGACCTTAAATGCCTTCAATAAGTTCCAACCAAGCTGAATAAGCCACTTGGGAGTCGCGCAAAGCCGAGTTGACGTCAGAGGTGTGTGGGTCAAATCAGTGTCGGGTCGGGTATACGAGGCAGTTATAGAGCAAGATTGCGCGCCGGTTGCCTAACCGGGTCAGGTTGGGTATGCGGGGCAACACACGGGTTGCATCGGTGGGCTGAGGCACATGGTCAGTGAGTTTTGGGTCGAGGACTTGTGGGCTGATCCAAGGTTGTGTGTGGGTTGGTTTCAGGTCCGACCCGACTTCGTTATTGACAAGCGGGGGTCTTCTTCTTTGCCTGACTTTTGGTGCTTCCAGATCTGCGCCCTCTCCGATTTCCATACGACGACAAGGGCTTAACGCACGACCAGTCATGTGTATGGTTGACATTGTTGGTGCCCTTGGAATCCCCCTTACTCCTGCCTCTCTCGGCGGTGTTCTCCATCTGCTTCTCTCTACATTGTGAAGGAGGGTGTAGGTAGTTTCATTCCCAGATCTTCAACGAGATTCAAATTTTGAATGTTTTTTTTTTCTTTATTTTTTTTGTATAACCCACTGCTGTTATAGAATAGGATATAGTTGTTTTCAGTCCTCCAAGTCTTCTAGAAAGTTGTTGTAAGCTTGATTATGAACAGTGTATTAATTGGTTTAAGCTAAAATGGTTGAGTGCAACTCTCTTATTTGGCCAAAATCGAAAGAAAAATACCCAAAATCTAATAGGTTTGTTCTTGTATTTGGGAGGGTCTTGGCTTAGAATTTTTTTTACACAAAATGGAAAGCATTGAGTTCTTGATTTAAAGCTTATGCGCATGGCTACTCTCAGTTCTTGATTCATTTAAAGAGGCTTGAGAGATAACCTGAACAAGGATATCTCATTAGTTGTAGCAGATCTTGTTTACTGTCATTAGAAGCAATTGGAAGGGAAAACAGGTTGATAGGTTCTTCTAATGAGGGGCCATGTGCAAAAGATTGTTGTTAGTGATAATGGAGAGATCTTTTAGTTTCCGAACTTGTTCATCATCTAATCATTCTATCACTGAATCCTGCAAAAAAAAAATGTTGCGAAAGAAAATACCAACATCTTGAGCATGTCACCTTTGAGATTTGGTGAGAAATTTGAAGATGCTTATAACATAGTCTTGATATGGGATGATCGAGAACAATTTGCCAACCACAGTTTTCGATTTTGGAGAATGATTGAAAATATCCAATAGTCAATTCAAGACCTAGATTGAGATTAAGAAGCTACCAGTGAGTGACACAATCTAGATTCTCGCCTCGCCACAAACATATGGATGTCCTACCTTTCTTTCTCAGTTTCATTATTAATAAAAAGAACCCTATAATTTGTCATCACATCACTCTGACTTCTTGGACGGTTACTGTTTAGATTAGGGATTCCACCAAATTCAGAATTGATCACAGAGTGAGCGACTTCTTGGACGGTTACTGTTTAGATTAGGGATTCCACCAAATTCAGAATTGATCACAGAGTGAGCTCAGATGCATTGGTACTTGTTTTTGTGGTCATGGCCCCAAGTTTTTGGCCACAAAGCTTCTTGAGAAATGAAGTTTAAAGATGGGCACCCGCATAATGGCCAACTCCCATTATTACCATTATTGTTATACAAGGCTGCCTTGTGTTAGACAGAAGAGAGATACATGATATGAAAAAGCTAACCACAAGATTGTTCTTCAGCGCCTGTATCGGTATAGCAGCACATCTTGGGCAAACATTAGAAGCATCACGACGCCTAGCAATGCTTTAGCAACATAGACCAGTGGGGGGAGAGTGGAGTTGTGGTGAATGCGTTTGGTAGTTAGGATATAGGAG